TTGGAGCGATCCACTCACGGAATAACTTTTTAATTTTTTGGTGAGTTTTGAAGTGCTGGTCTTGTAGGATGGTCTGCAGGGATCAAAACAAGTAATAATCTAATGGATCACAATCTGATGCATGTGATGGAATTTCTCATTTAAATGCATCTAATATATTTTTTTTTGTCTTACCTAGTTAATTCATTTTTTGGTAAATGTAATATTAATTGAAAACAGGGATGGCTGAATTTTTTACAAGGATTAACTAAATACTAGAACGCGTGCAATGAGAATAGCATGTCACCAAGTGAATTACGTGCCATTAGTGAAACAAATGCCATAAATTTACAATATGTATTATAAAAATGAATATAGCGTGCCCCTAAAATTTTCAGACGTTCCATTAGTGCCATGCGTGACATGAATTCCCTGCTGTAGAGTGTAGAGTTTCTCTCTTGGGAATATATTGTATTCGCACTAAAAATATCGTTTTATGACTTCTGTGAAAGAAATACACCTACTCCAAATATACTTTAGCTTACTTTCATCTCGGTCTCTAATATTGATAGTCACGTCTTGACATAAAATATTGTTGCCATTACAATTTCTAAAATCACCATACGAGTATTATTAATTAATTCCCACAACTACTAATTTAACAATCGCTTCAATTAAAAAATTCGTTTAATTTACCCTAAGTACCTACTACTGAAGATTTGAATCCTATTTTTAATAAGTTTGGAGTAGTACCAAATTTTAAATTCAAATTACAATGTTAGTGCAAATGACATTTGTTTTCAATAAGATTTAATTTTATTTACATATTCTAAGCAAATCAGTGGCACCTTATGAAGAAATAGGGGATAGATTGTCACGTTGATAACATAATAGATTATACACTGTAATAGACTGCAAAAATACTGTACAAAAAATATTTTATATTAAGTCCCTTGGCACAATCATGGCTAAGCCACTGCGACAGCACGATGTAGACTTGCAATTTTAAGTGTCAGTCAAGTGAAAAGATGCCATGACTGTGAGCAGAACACCAAGTCTGCACCTTTGAATGACAGTTAACCAACATGTTGGCTTAACCAACTCCCAGCTTCTCACCAACATGTTGGAAATGAAAGTTTGTCACAAAAAATATGCATTCTGTCAATCAAGAGAATATTTTTGCGTGGTTAGTATCGTAGTAATAGTGTGCACAAACACCCCTATTCTTCAAAAATTTTGCTTGACTGACACAACTTGTTTGTGAGCAACATCAAGTTCGGTCGCTAGAAAAAGCTTCGCGGTTAAGCCTAACTATTGTTAGTCACTACATTGTCAATGAGACCAGAAAGTTTCAGTTTATTAATGCTTTAGTCGTCGATATATAAACCGGGATGTCCGCTGCTTTGAATTTTGATTTAGTTTCCGAGCCAGCTTTCCCGACTTTTTAGGTAAACCAGCGACGAATTCTTTCCAAGGCATTTGCTAATTATAGTCATCAGAATACTCCAAGTCTGCATGTAGGGGTCTGCTTTTCTTCAATCGTTTATGCAAGGATAATAGATGATAGGATGTAACCTTGTACTTCATCAGTTGTCATAGCAAACGGCGCAGATAAAGCACACACATATTTTAAAGCACATATTTCAGATATATTTTATATATAATTTTTTTAAAATTATTTGAATTATAAAATTTTATTTTTTTCAAATAACGTATATCGTATATAACGTATATCTTATATTTGAAACTAAAACAATTATTATTTTAAAGAATATTTATTTTCTGTATTTTCTATTTATTTTCACAAACTATTTTTTTCATTGGATCCCTTTTTGTTTCATGATTTGTTTTGTTAATTGCGGTTTTATTATGCGGTGCGAATGATAATGAATGAATCCTAATTGGAAGTGTCAAATATTTATTCAAATTCTGAGCTGAATTGTCTTCGAACAGTGAACATCGAACAGCAATTGGCGGGAGGGGAGGTCAATCAGACGCTAGTGCATGCAACGCTACGCAAACAAAGCCATGAAACGCTGCGAAGTCCAAGCAAGCAAAATTCACTGAATTGAATTCCTGGAAGCACATCGCCCAACAAACGTAAAGAAAAGCTTTGGAATTTGCTTTTGCTGTTTTGTTTTCTTCGCTCGCCCGCCCTTCGCTGAAATGAAGAGTGTTTCTCTTTCTCGCCGCAAATCTGGTTTTAAAAATGCACTTTGCTTTGGTTTTAGTTTTATTGCGGTTTGAAAATAAACAAAAACAAAAAACAATAACAAAACGTTTTTGTTTGTTTTTTTTTCTTTACGGTACAACAAGTGCAGTGCAATCCATGGCCTGGGATGGCGAGAAATGTGGCTGTTGACTTCACAGTTGTTGTTACCTTTTTTTAAAAATAATAATTGTTGTAGTTGTAGTAGTTGTAGTAGTCGTTGTGAAATTAAATAATAATTTATTTATTAATGAAAACGGGAAATATAGAAGAAATATTACAATTATATTTTATTTAGTTATTTATATTTTTAATATAAGTTGTTATTTAACGTCAGTTATGACGGAAGTGATTATTTTACTTAATAGATAACATATTAGTACATTTGGTAGAGAGGCTTCCAAAAGTAGTGAACTACAACAAAAAAATTTCTTTTTATATTATTTTAATTATTTGAATTTTTGGCTGACCATACAATTGTTTCGAGTATAGCCAAATACCTATCATGATTGGTGTTTTAATTATGTATTGTATAAAATTATTTGAAAATAATTTTTTTCAAACTGCAAGTGTCAAGGATTGAACTCGTGCTCAGCCAACTTTGAAGCTCAGAGTCAGCGTTCATTAGTCAACTGACTGACCTAAAGCCGTACTTGACTTGTATGTTTGCACTTTGAAGTTTTGTCAATTTGCTGTACAAGTTCATTAACAAGTTCATCATAAACCAGCTGTAGAATAATTAAATTAATTAATTAATTATTAAATTTCAATAACTCTAAATACGGCTCTTTGTACAGCTATTATTTATTGCATGCTTTTATATTATTCTTTCTTGTGCGTATATGTTATTCTAACAGTGAAATTTAACATTAAAAAATATAAATATAATGAATTCAATATAATTCAATGTAAGTACAACTACATGTCCTCAAATTTTCTCAGCAACTATTGAGATGTCAAAGTCTCAGTGAGTATTTATATTATGAACGTACCGTATCGGAGATTTATAGTTTTAAGCCTTTGGATTTTGTTGATATTACATTGGGTGGCATAGTTCAAAATTTGTGCTCCATAAGATCATATTATAGAATTTGTTTATAAATTATAATTTTATCATAAACGGAGAGTTTTGATCTTCGTCTGTTAAGCTTTGTCAACAACATCGAGAGCATCTTGAGCATCAAGAACATCTTGAGCATAAAGAGTTATGCAAAGATGTTTTGCAGTATTTGCATATGGGATTGTACCTCCTTCTAGCATTATTGGGTAAAAATTCATTTTTTGGTAGATGAAGTTTACATAGAATGATTTATTGTTGTTTAGTTTAATTCTTCAAGTCTGCATCAATTTTTTTTTTGGACTTAATTCTAAATTGCCACCCTGAACTATCAAGACACCTCCCTCATTACAGTTCCTAAGCCAACAGTAACAGTTTTCACACCTCAAATTAATTGCCCACCTCTGGTGCGTATATAGGTATAAATCATTGCAAATAAATGTAGTAAAAGATGATTTTCTACTAGACTTTATTTAAAAATATTATAATAATAATTTGTGTGAATACTGTCTTAAATTAAATAATTATCGCAAAGTAATATTAAACATTTTAAAGGAGATAAAACATTTTTTAACTACTAATTCCTTAAATCACTCATTTCAAAGTGTACCATAGTCACTAGAATATTTTTCCAACCACAGCTGCCAGAAGTAACAATTTTGATTGTTGATATAATCACCAAAAAAAAACTAAGTTTTATCACTGAACAAATTCACTCTAAACACTGAACACAATTTAAACACGTTCAGCGGTTGTTTAACGATTAATATTGTAACTCGGCAAACCTTAAATTAAGCTTATGGTACTATGGATAACAATACTGTTAGCCAAATACTCAATTCAATGCCAAGAAATTAATAATCCTATAATACATATAATTCCAATGCTTTTTCAAAGACTTCTTCAATATTTAATTGAATGTTTCATTTATTTTTTGAAAGTTTTATAAACATATATTTTATATTGAAGACATTCTATTGATAACAGACCACAAGTCTTCACATTATGGTATTTTCTGGTCATTAATAAAATAATAAAATTTTAATATTCACTGAATATAAAAACTTCAACATAAACTTACATCACATTTTAATACAGTTTGTATATCATTTACAAAATATTCCTTCTTCTGCTTCTTCTTCTTAAATATGCCAAATGACAGTTCCGTTTATGGTAGGCCCTAAGCCGATCTTACCATAAACTCCGCAAAGCTAAAATTATTAAATATTTACGCCTTCATAATTGTTGCGGCCATATTCGCCTTAACTGATTTTGATTGCTTTCAGCTGTAAAATCAAAAATAAAATCCATAAAAAATAAACAACAACAACAAAACGCAGCAAAGCAAGCCAAGACAACGTAGACGCTTAACCACTTCAGCCCACAGTTTTGCTTTTTTTGTGTGTGAATTGTTATGCGGCGAATTACCATTTCTTTGAAATTCCTTTCCAGGTAAATAAAATTGCTCTTTGTTTTTATTTTTGGTTTTGTTTTTGTTTTTGTTTTTGTTTTTGCTTGTTAGACTCGTACTCTTTGATAAAAAGTAAACTTGTTGGGTAAGAATGTTAATATTTTTTTACTATTTTGTTTTTGTATAAAATTCTGACGTCATCGTTTCGCGGTTTGTTGTCGTTTTGAAGTGGTTTTAAGCCAATAATTTTTTTAATGATTTTTTGTGCACATTTTTGTTTTCATGTAGGCAGAATTTGCGTTCGAGCCATAATTGCAAACCCAAAACCCGATTTAGTTTGAGTTCAGCGCTTGCAGTGTAAACACGAAGCAATTAAAAAGCGAAACATAATTAAAACCATTAAAAAAAAAAATAAAAAGTAAAAAATAAAAATTATTAAAAAATATTATTTCTTTTTTAAATGAATTAAATGAAAAGTGTGTTAACATTTTTTTTTATTGTAACAGATTTTCAACAATAAGGCAGCATTAAACTTGTTCAAGTAAAGTAGTTCGTGTTAAATGTGAAATTAAATAAAAAATTTAAAAGAGTTTGGAAAAGTGAAAACATGAAAAGTAAGGCAAAATGTGTGTGAAGAGCTAAGAAAGCACAAAAAAGTTTAGAAATCTTAAACAAGCAAGCACAGAGCAAAAAAAAAAATTATTTAAAACAAACAAATTTATAAAGTGCAAAAATCCAAACATTGCCCCTTTTCACATTGTCTCTGGGGGCAGGCAAGATCAACATTAAAATGGATGTTAAAGACATCAAGGGCGCCAAGGTCACCCATGCTGGGTTGCTGAAGCATAATGCCGATGGTACAACTGAAACGCAAAAGATCACACATGCAGGTCTGGTGGCACGTAGCCCAGAAGGTACGGCCGCCAAGGGCATGAACATACGCGGCAACGAGGACTTATGGGTTGAAATCCAAGCGAACACTTTTCGCAATTGGGTGAATGAGCATTTGCGAGAAACTGGCATGCAGGTAAGCATATAATTCCAAGCATATAATTTTATATTCAAATAAACATATACATATATAAAATATATAATTCATTTTATTATTATAAGCACAATTCAAAGCGACGCGATTTTAACAAAATAATTTACACTATGCGGTTCACGAGAGAAACGATTATTAATTTTAGTTTTATGGATGACTAAATTGTGATGCAATGTTCAATTTAATCTGCTTTCATATAACTTTAAAAAATGTTTATGAATTTTTTGTGTATTTATCGTTTTGGTGATACAGAAATGCTATTTTTAATTTCTAAACAAGTTTCATTTATATTTTTATATATAAGTATTCACATTAATAATTCTTCAACTTAAAAATGCAAACAAATATTTATCACAGTGGAACAAAGCTTAGAGTATTTGCTTTGCAAAATTTTAAAGGCCCTGTATTTCATATATAAAAACCACGTCAGGAAAAATTTTTGATTATTAATATTACATATAAAAATTTCAAAATTTTTGAATATAACATACAAACAAAAAATAAGAAAGTATGTAATACAATAACAAAATCATTAACTGTGAATCTAGCATACAAAGAAATTAATTAAAAAAACAAAGCTTCTAGAGCATTTAATAATATAATTTAAAATAATAAAAGAAGACATTGAAAATATGTCAATTGTCTTCCGTGTCAATCTACACTCGTTAATTAAATATTCACAACATTCCGTTACCGGGCTTCGACCTGACACAACATATTTCTGCAAGCACCTCTGCTGCATGCACTTTTTCTCCAGTCTCCAGTCTGTCTTCTTCCTTCAGCTACCGCTTCAAACACTTTTTTCGCCATTCGCTTTTTTGCATTTCTTTATCCTTACTCACGACATCACCAAGCCAGAAAAGCCGATAGATGTTAATTCGCTGAATTATATCAAACTTTTCTCTCGAAAACTGCTAGTGCTAGTTTATCATTCTATGATAGCGTCCACAGAAGAAGTACGTCTAGATTGAGCGACTTATAGAGCGTAAGTTTTGTTTGTCAAGAGAGAGGTAGCTCTGCATTCCAATTGCCTACTAAACCCATAATAGCACCTACTAACATTGGTAATTCTTTGTCTGATCTCTAGTCTGATATCGTTGCTGTTCGTTATTGCGGTAAGAATGTAGATGAAATCCTGAATATCGTTTTCAGCCTCAAGCTCGGCGTCCCAGCGACGCATATTTCTACCAATAGCCGACATATACTTCATTTTGCTTTCATTCATCTTATTCACTCTTAAATCGATTTTCGCAGATTTTTTTCCGATAGCGGTAAATGCTATTGCAGTATCACGCTTGCTACGCTCAATGATGTCGATATCATCAGCGTAAGCAAGTAGTTGAAGAGATTTGAAGAATATTGTGATGTTATCTGCCCGATTCATTATCACTTCCATAACGAATTTAAAAAAATCACATTATAAGAAATTGGAAAGTCACAATCCTACCTTGATGAAGCAACTCTTTCAATAAATAGTTTATATGATCAATATTTCATTTGAAACAGTTAGTTCACGTATTCGCACAAGACATCATAGCTGTTGTTGCAAGTTTTTCTTTTGGTACATAATTTTTGCGTTCACATTTTTGTTTTGTTCTCCTTTGCTGCTCAACTCAACTCGTTACTCGGTGAATAAGAATAAAAATAAGAAAAATATACCGCTAACTACAGCAAGTCAATGCTAGATTTGAACATTTCGTTTGCATATATATAAAAATTTTTATATATTATACATTGTATATGCAATAAAATCAATAAGTTACTTATTCCATCAAAAATATTTTATAAAAAAATTATTTTAAAAAGCTTTAAATAAATGTAGAAAATAAAACAAATGTTTTAGTTAAATGTCAACTATGGCAATGAAACTTATTTCTAAATAGTAAAGATAATATATCTCATTCTTTTTTAAACACTAAAGACTGATAATTTATTAAATAATATTTTTATCTGATACATTCCTACTCAAATGTTTCTTTTTCAATAGAATTGTCGTTTTAGTAAATAAACTTATAATCATTTGCTTACTTAGCAATGGGAAGCACTCATATCCGGTGACTAAAAGTTACTTCCTCAGCACTTCCGAATGCGTGCTGGTATATGATTCACGCTTTATTTACTTTCGGCAACAAAAATAGAAATGTGTTACACTGCTTACAGCTTACAATGCCGTGGCGGGGGGGGCCTTCAGTGCAGGCCCACATAAGCACGCAAAAAGCATTACGAATTCTCGACTTGCAAGTACGAAAACTTTGCATAAACGTTCAGAACAAGATTCCATATACGGCAATGTTTACTGGCAGTTTGGCTGGACTGGTTGATTTCTTAATATGTTTTCTGTATCTCACTTTAGTATCTCATTTTTCATCAATAGTATTTCATCAGTATTCTAATGTGGAAGTTCGAAAATTGGCAATAAAGTCATTAACTGCTTTATAAAAATTAATATTTTCCATAACCCACACGATTTGTCCGTACGGTGAACGTTTTTTTCCATGGAACGAGTTCACTTTTACTCTCATTCTGCATTCCAAACGCGAATGGAGTATCTCAATTTATTCTAGGCTATGTATATGACAATTTTTTGTCACATAAAAATAATATTTTTCTAATTAGTGAGTTCAATAAAATATATATTAATATGTCATAATATTACAATTGAGAAGTAGGCGGGTTGTCATTGTTAAGGGCGGCACTTTTATTACTTTTTTTATGAATTTGCTATTATCATTAAATTTGACTAAGGAAAATGCAAGAGTCCGGAGTTATGAAAATGTAAATGTAATAACTGTGAAGTGACAACCAATAATTTTAATTGACCCGTGTCTTTCGTGTGTTATATTGGAGGGATTATAATTCAGTTCCAACTAGATTTCAAAAAACGTCTATTAAATTCCATATACGAGTATTTAATCACATAAATACTGCAAATTATTAATTAAAGCTTCATTGCTTAATGACGTTTTAGATTAAATTGATTAAGATAAGAATATCTTCAAGAAGTAATTAAAAATAAAAGAACTTTCAAACAAATTATAACAGTTTGATTTTAATCTATTGTCCGAAATTGACTGCGCTGTAGATTGAAAAGTATTATCACTATTTAAAAACATAAATTGCACCCTTCGACTACTTAATGAAACTACGTTTTTTTTAGCTGAAGTATTCGCAATTAGGATCGCAAATTAATTAAATGCAAACCCTATCAAGCATATGAGAAAGGGTCCCATTTTCATTAAAAGTCAAATAGCAATCGCACTTACCTTAACTTTTTTCAGCTAAATAGTGATAAGTGGATGTCATGTGTGAACCTTGACTTCTTATAAGAAGATTGCCTTAGACGTAAGAGTAATATATTGATTTCTTTTGACGATGTTTATTTTTTGTCGATAAATAGACAGTAACGAAATCCTCAGTGCAATCTTTGAATCTATACATGTAGGATCCATTTTATACACTGTATCCTAAGACCCAAAACTCCTTCAACCCGTAGACAGTAAAGGCGCCCGCGGGTAAACATCCCATTTTAGTATTTGGATGAAAGAGAGATATAGATTAATCAGAAGACTGAGTTTGTTTTCCAATCATTTTCAATCCCAACGAAAGTTTTGTTTACTTTTTTGCATATTGTTAAATATATTTTTATTATATTCCGTTCTATATTTAACATATATGTTATATTGATGTACAAATGTTGATTGAGATGAAAAGCATAAGGTAGTACAAAGCAATGTTGCAAGTGTAAACGCTATGTAAAAACAAAAACAACAAATTTGCTACAACATCGATGTTGTATTGTGCACGTTTATTTGTTTATATATAATATTGATTTAAAAATACAATGCGTGATAGTAAACAGTCAATTGCAAATGTGTTATTGGAAACTATTTATTTTTTTTGTAACATAACAAATTGTGTGAAAAGTATATCAACAATAAAAGTCAATTTAATAAGCAAATTTAATATCCGATTTTAGTACTATTTACTATTTTAGTAACTTATGTTAACAATATCTCTTTTTTTCGGGGAAATAGCCTCTGCGACTCTGTTCCGATTTCGCAAACTGGTTTGACAACGAATTTTAGTATAGTCAATTAATTATTAAGAGTTCTTCTCTTTTTTCTGGAGATATTCACGTTTATAGTTGTTACCTTTCTTTATTGGTTACACTTACAGAAACTATACACATTATCTAGTGGCAACCAGTATATGTAATTTTAACATTGATTATACTAGGAATAACTATAAATAAATAGAAGTCACATTACACATCTAATTCTTGTTGATGATATCACTGTAAAAATATTCAATCACAAAGACCATTGTCTTGGAAGCTCTCTAATAAAATTCATCGTCAAATCGGTGTGCGCGGAAAATCGGATCCTTTCATCTGTGCACATATGTTTAATAGAATATCTCATTAAAAGTATAGCATATAACTAAACAAAAAAGATCTTTATTTCTTAATGAAATGATATATAAAAATTTTTATTGTCTTATGACAAGAATTCTAATTTAAATGGAAAAGCAGATGATAATAGAAAGAACATTTTTAAATTCAAAAACTTTTAAATCAAACTAAATAAATTAGTTTTTAAATCAGGTAAATTCTTTGGTTGTTCTTATAGCTATTTTGGTTACTTTCAGTCTAAACATTATATATATGAACAATAAAGCTAATAAATTTATTAAACTAACTAACAAGTTAAAGTCGGTTTTGATTTTTAAGGAATTTTAGCTTTTATTTCGATCGTTATATATTGTATATATCTATACATATTTCATATAGAAATGCCTTCATCAAGATATATTGTGATATTATACAATTTTTTATTATATTATATATATAAAGCTTACAGCTATGGCATTTTAGCCGTCTGCCTGATATTATATTATATTATGCGATATTATATATTAAGATATATATTATGAGTATAAGGATATTCATTAGGATATATTAGATTATATATCTAATATACAAA